AGAGCTACGGTGCTACATAATACAATTACTATACTACTATAAACGTAACAGGCCGTATGCAAAGCTACATGTAGACACTCTGGATTATGGCTGGGACCATGCCCTCCATTATTTTTCATGGATCAACTATTTGACCTGTATCTCTTAAAGATCCTCGGCTTTGTGCCACAAATGGACGCTTGAGCCCTGAGTCATCCCATCCACCGTTTGTTTTCTGTAATGACCTAAATTGTAGCATTACACAGAAAAGTGTATATTACTCTGCGTACTGTATATGAGAAGCATTATTAAGAGGTGTTTTGAAAAAGACAAGTGCTAATGCTTCAGTTTTACTAATAAAAATAATCAGAAATTGTCAATATGGCTCCTCAATAAGGTTTTGGCCAGAATATAAACACATGCTTCACAGGCATAAAAACTCACGGCGGGGCTCATGCACAACATAAAAGGAAAACAGAACAAAAACAACAATAAACAAAACTTTAATACATAAATAAAACCATATAAATGCATTAGCACAAAAATCAATTCAACCGGAGGTGCATACACAATTTTGTTTTGTAATGCGTCCCGTGCATTTCCTGTCCTGACCGTGGAGGTGTCGTCACAGGAGAGGCTGCACCGGAACTGACCTGATCGTGGAGGTCTGCAGCCAGGTACTCTTGCCAGATTCTGCTGCCTCAGGAAGCTGCTAAGCCAACAAGGCTCAAAAGGTCTCCTTCTTTGGTCTGACGGCCTCTCTCACTGTGGGTGCCAACCAGTAAGTTTTTAGGTTGCTGCCATGACAGGCACCAGTGACCTGACCACAGCTCCGAACAGCCCTTGCTGCAGTCGAGGCTTGAACATGGCCCACTCAGATTCCATGTCCCCAGTCTCCCCTCCTCCTCAGACAGGACGTCCCTCTCAATCACCCCCCTCCAGGTTTGTCCATCTTTGCCCATGTGAGCATGAAGTCGCCCATAAAAATAATGTGTCAGAGGTACAAAGGTATGTCACAGGTGACAGGTCTATATCAGCGTTTTTTTCCTCTGCGTGATAAATAGTTTTGGAGTTTTGGAGGTTGGAGCAACAAGAGTAACAATAGCATTATTAAGCTACATTTACTCATAATACACTTTGTTATAGTGTATGATTACATTTTCTTCAAATTCACATGTTCAAAAATGTAATAAAAAATTATGACATGGGCTTTAGGAACTTCCATACCACATTCTGGGAAAGCAGTTTCATATCTTGTACACTATGTCAGCACTGAACTATGAGTGTCTGTATGTACAAACACGAATAAATAGGCTAATTTTAGCAACTGTTTTGAAAAGCCAATAACATCAGCTATGTGTCAGGCAATTTTCAAGACAGTATAACCTATAATAAGTGGGAATCCTTAGTTTTTAAAAGAATGTCTTCTACTGTCCGATGCTAGTTTCAGAAACATAATTTTGGTGTGGGGTTGCTATACAGCTAAATAACACACAAAAGATTATCACCTGTTCAATGCTATCACACAGACTCTAGAGATAGATATCTTGCCAAAAATTAGAATGAACATTATGACAATAAGATGGTATCAGGCCAAAAATGTCTGTATGGCACATGGCCTATTTATATTATGCACATGACATTTAGATTTTTAAAAATGACTTACAAACAAATAGTTTTTTGTTTGTTTGTTTGTTTGTGGGGCTGCAAGGTGGCGCAGTTGGTTAGCACTGTTGCCTCGTAGCAAGAAGGTCGCTGGTTCACGTCACGGTGGGGGCACCAGGATCTTTCTGTGCATGTTCTCCCCGTGCAGCGTGGGTTCTCCCCGGGTTCTCAGGCTTCCTCTCACACAGTCCAAAAACATGTTGAGATTAACTGGTGATTCTAAATTGTCTGTAGGTGTGAATGTGAGTGTGCTTGGTTGTCTTTCTCTAAGTGTAGCCCTGTGATAGACTAGTGACCTGTCCAGGGTGTCCCCTGCCTTCGCCCTAAGTCGGCTGGGATAGGCTCTGGCCCCCCCGTGACCCTTGTGAGGATTAAGCGGTGTATAGATAATGGATGGATGTTCGTTTGTTTAAGTAATTTGATGGTAACCTATTAACATTTCACAACTGCAGTTTCAATAAAAAAGTATTCACCTTATCCCCTGAAAGTTTTCTCTTTGCTTGCTTTTAAATTTTAAATCATGATCACATAAATTTGACTTTACTGGTAAGATTTTACAAATTAAAAAAAAAAATTAAAAATCACTCTCATGTAGAAGTGAATACATATTTCTACAAAACAACGTCAGTAATTAGTAATATTCCTACTAAAGTTGAATTTTCCTCTTTTTTATTTGTGGTCCTATATTATTTAGAAAAGAACTGAATGTACTAGAAGCTAAAGAACATATCTTAACCAGGGGTGCCAATAATTATGGAGGGCGCTGTAGGTGTCCTGGTGGACTCCCTCACCACTGTCTTTCTTGTAACTCGATCAGAGGAGTCATAGCTGAAGTGCTAAAGTGTCTTTAATTTTTTGACAAGTTTGCCGTAGTCCAGTACTATGTAATGCCTGCGAATCATAAATCACTTTAAATAAAAGGAGAGAAACGTATCAGACATTTGTGCACTATTTAGGAAGCAACGTCATACAATCAGACAGAACCCCTCCTCGGCCTTTCTAGTGACTGTGGAAGTTGCTACAGTCACCAAGACACCTATGACTCCTCTGAAGGAGTTACAAAATTCACAGACTGAGATAGGAAATGTTTATACAACAACGATTACTCAGGTTCTTTACCAGTCAAAGCTTTATGAGCATTTAAATGAGAAACACACTGTTGAGAGACCTCAATAAACCTTGACTAGAGTTCACTGGAAGGTATGTGGGAGACTCTGAATTCAGTTGGAAAGGGGTTCTTTGGTTTGATGAGACCAAAATTCCCTTTTTGGCCTTTGGACTAGCTGCTAAGTTTGGTGGACACCAAACACTGGGCATGATCACAAAGTCACCATCCCCACAATAAAGTATAGTGGTTGCAACATCTTGATGTTGGAAAAATGAAAATGGAAAACTCTGAAACCTCTTGCAGTCATCAGTTTTCATGTGTGTTTTCAAAGCACCATGAGACAAGTGATGGAGATCCATGACAGTCCAAACTGTCTGACCCACTGTAATGTCACTGATGGGTGTAATGAACACTGAAAAATGTAAGAGGATACTGTAGTAGCTGAACATTAACCAGCTTTTCCAGCACTTTTCCTGCCACAGCTAAGCTGAGGACAGCGGAGAGAATCATCGGGACATCAGTTCTTCCCATTCGGGACATTGTGAAAAATCTCTGTCTGATCAGGGCCCACAACATCAGAAGGGACACCTCTCATCCCCACAATGGACTGTTCTCGCTGTTGGACTCTGATAAGAGGCTATGCAGCTTTAGGAGCCGAACAGCCAGATTTTGTAACAGCTTCTTCCCACAAGCACTGAGACTGCTGAACTCAAAATAACCCCCCACCCCCCACTACTGGTGGACTGATTCATTGTGCAATAAAAACATTACAACACGTGCAATATGTGTAAATATTATATTTTATATAGGATTTATTCAAACTTTCTTTCATTTATGTTTTTTACTGTTTACACCATTTTTTAAAATTCCTGTTTATTATTTTTAGATGTATATTCCCTATTTTGTCTCTGTTCTTTTCTTTTCTAAGAGCCAAATGCAACGCAATTTCATTCTGATGTGCACTGTACCATGCAAATCTGCAATGACAAATAAAGAAAGTCTGAGTCTAAGCTACATACAAAAGCCTTTATAGCAAAGGTAGAGGACTGGGAGGAAGCAGTAAAAGAAAGAATCGTATATGAAAGCTAAGAGAATCAAACAATGAGGCCAAATCAGAGGCTGACTTTTAGCTTCAAATTCACACTATTTATATGCATGTGTATTTTTAAAAATAGAAAATAAAGAGCCATTTTAACATTACGTCCCCTTTTTTCAGCTATGCGAAAGAAAGATGAATGTCAAAATATGAAAGCCAAGAAAAGCTCTGCTTGCAATTATTTATCAATGCCATTGTCTTGAGATATTGGCTAAATTATGTTATTGTTGCAAGATAACAAAGCTTGTTTTCTGATGGTAACAAGGTCATTGTTTTTGTTTTTTTGTTTTTTTTTATCATTGTGTTTCTTCTTTGTTCATCAGAGGTCAAGAGAGGCGTGCCATGAGGTCAGCTACAGAAGAGCCTGGGGAGCTTGGCTCTGTTGATAAAACACAAGCTCTCCTAAAAACCATGATTTGGAAAATTTGGGGGGATCTCTAAAACATTGATGATATGCTGTTTCTGCCATGTATTTTCATTGTTCAGTTCATCACAGATCATATGTAAAATTAGGCTATTTGTGATATGTGATTCATGCATGAAGGTTATTACTAAAATGAACTCTGTCTTTCTCTCTGGTCAATGTTGTGCTTGACAGATGCACCGCGGTGGTTAGTATCATCTATTTTTATTGGTTTGGTTCTTATCAATAATAATGATTTTAAAAAGCTAAATCAACTGTTTTAGAAATGTGTCTGGTTTTCTGAGGCATTGCCTCTGACTAAACATGTAAAACTCCCCTTCAGGTAGCTGGAACTAAAGGAGCTTACTGGATGATGGAGAAACATCTTTAAGAACCTCAAGTCCAGTTGTTTTGTTTATTATATGTGTTTATTTACTGAGTTGGAAAAAAAAAAACTCATAAACCTCATGCACTGCAAAAGTGTATTTCACCCTGCAACAGAGCAGTCACACATGGATGTACAGGTGATAGTGTTGGGAGTTTTCAGCACCCTCTGAGCCTTCATTAAGGCCTGACGGTTTCTTTAGAGAGATTACAGCAGACATCGAGGATGACAAAGACAAACACCCTCTGATGACTCTGAAGACGAACGTCTATTCTGACACCATCTCTCTGACTTTTTTCTACGCCTTTAATTCTCGTTTCTGCGCTGCCTTGCCCACCATTCCTCTTGCTGCGCACTCTTCTGCAGCCCGGAGAGATAGGCCATCTGTCGACGCATCGACATTGACCAATGACACGCCGTATCTCCAAGGCGCAGGACTAGACTGACCAATAACAGAACGGCATGGGGCGGGACGTGTCCTGTCCACTCTCACCTCCCACTCATGTGAAATCACTGGCTGCAGACCGACACAGAGACAGACTGCACAAGTAGAGCCGCGGCACCAGGCAGGTACACAGGTAACCACAGGTAGCAGACTGACGAGGAGACACTGCGCAAGACCTGCCGGCATGGACGCATCGCAGTGAGCCGCTCCGCCGCAGATCCGCTCCCAACAGGTCCACCGCAGCCGCGAGCATGTCGACAGGAGAAGGAGCCGTCCAGCGCGACGAAGGGGAGTACGGCAGGGCTGCGAAGAGGCTGAAAACCGAGGAGACGGAGACGGAGGCGGAGGAAAGAGAAGAGGGGGAAGAGGAGCTGGAGGAGGGGGAGGATTCGGACTCTGGATCGCTGCCCGGTAACGGAGAGTCAGCGACAGACAACCGGGCCCGATGGAGCGCCAGTCAGTTCGGAGCAGGACGAAGGGTAAGGAGAGCGACCGTTAGCTAACGGCGCCCTGCGGCACAGCATCACCGCCACGAGCACGCGCACGTGCGTTAGCTGGTGCTGTCAGCGTCAGGGAGCATCTGTCAGCCCGGTTCCGTATGGCTCCACCGGTGCTCATCACGAGCAGCACCGGGAGACAGAGTCCAGGCTGCACGTTGAATAATGTCACATGACTGAAACGATATGAAATGATTTATATGCTGCATAATGTATGAGCCAGATTGTCCTGTTACCTGAAGATATTTTGTTTACCTCAGTAAAAAAATATTGCTATAGTAAGCTTTGGGTCCAATTAGTTGGGTTTTTGGTTACTCCTGATTTTGCTGCAGGTGTGACTGGGGCTGCAGAACTTTTTCCCAGGTCACTGGACTGAGTTGCTGAACACCAACAGGGGGCTACTGAGCAGCTTTGTGGCCCCCAAATGCAGATCCTCTGTTTGAAAGACTGTTGACATTTGTCATTGGAAAATCAAAGGCAGTTGTCCAAAACAGAGATGCTTTTAATATTTTGGATCTAGATAATCAGCAAATCTTGAGTCCAAACAGAGATTTATTTTTAAAGTTTGATTTAGTTTTTGCTTTGTACCCCAAGATGCCTGCACAGTGTTTACTTAGGTGGTATTAAGCACGTATTAGGATTATTAAAGCAAAGTGATGTTTGAATGTGTGCTTTGAAGGTAGCAATCCTAAAATTGTGCCCATTTCATGAAAGCAATTTGTGAGCAAAGCTGACACTGCATGTCTTGCTTCACAAATAACTGCTGACTGAAAATCACAGACATAGTGAGTCCCACAAGGCTCATGTAAGTTCGTGCATGCAAGAAGTGGTGTTTGTATTTGGTAGGGACTTCCCAATGTAAAATGTATTGTAAATTACTTTTTTTTTTTTAAATTTCTGTTTCTGCTTTGCAGTTGTAGTACAGTCACCAGACACCTAGAAGTGCTTGCTGCTCTTAATATATTTTGTGCTACTGTGTACAGTTCCAGAATCGTAGTAGAATGTATGCAGTAGCTTTTTTTTTTTTTTAAATAGCTTTGGTACCTGGAGGTAGATTTTATGTGTCTAATAGTCATCCATCCAAAAATGCCTTGACCTGGATTTGATCCTAATTGTGATTTTCAGGAATGGCTCAGGCTGCTACAATATCCCTACTGGTGGGGCTCTTCGATAGTTTACAGCAATCAAGGACCGTATATAAGAACACAAATTAATAAATAAATAAATTTGAAGGCTATGCACTGTTTAATTATTGTGAAAAGCAACAGTCTTGCACAGTGTGCACACAGACACCGTTGTTTCCAATCCAGCCAGTGCAGCGTGGGTTTTAACTTCCTCCCACAGTCCAGAAACATGTTGAGGTTAGTTGGTGATTCTAAATTGTCCGTAGGTGTGAATGTGAGTGTGCTTGGTTGTCTGTGTTGTCTGTGGGTAGTTCTGTGATAGACTGGATACCTGCCTTCGATGTATCTGCCTTCGCCCTAAGTCAGCTGGGATAGACTCCAGCCCCCCACGACCCCAGTGAGGATTAAGGTGTATAGATAATGAATGGATGGATCGTTCATTAATGCTCTATGTAAAGACTTGAATAAATTAAAAAGTGAAATATCCATACCAGGATGTGAAAAATTTAAAGATTCAAATTCAAAATCAGAGTTTCAGATTTTCAGATAGTACATTGAATCAAGATGTGGCATTGTGGCTTATAATAAACAATGACAAAAACAATGTGGAATCTATTCTGCACTGGTTTCTGTATACACCAGGCTGCAGCTGTAAAATATTTGCTGTCATCTCAGATAGTTTTAGCTCTAGTTGCAAATTGCTGTGTGTGCTGTGAAAAAGTATTTGCCCCCTACAGATATCTTCTATTTTTGCATGTTTGGCACACAGAAATGTGTCAGATCTTTAGGGCTGGTCGGTATAGCAATTTCTGTGTTCTGGATATTCGGGCCGTGTATTGATGAATATTCCAGTGTGCTCAGACGGGCTGGAAGTGGGCGGGATGCACAGGCAGCATTTGGCTACAAAGACAAGTTTAGTAATATTCAGACATTCGGGTCCAGCCCTACAGATCATCAAACAAATTTTAATTTAAGACAAAGATAAGAAAAGAAAACACAAAATGCAGTTTTTTCTGTCCTTGAGCAAGGTGTTGTGGTGCCTGATGGCTGTGGGGACAATGATCTTTTGAGCCATTCAGTCCTGCAGTGCAGTGAGATGAGCCGCTCACCGTAGCTGCACCTCTGTCCAGCCAGGATGGACTGCACACAAACAAACCACAGTCCTCAGTGAGTCCAAACTTCTTCCGAGTGTAGAACCAGCATTCTTTATCAGCTTGTCCAGCTGTCTAGTGTTCCTCTTAGTCATAGTATAGAAAAGAACACTGGCTACCACTGACTGGTAAGACATATGCAGCATAGCCGCTGGCTCTGCCCCTTCTGGTGCAGGGCATCTGTGTTTCTGGACGAGTCCAGTTTGTTGTCAACCACTTCAATGTCCTTCCCTCTGATACTGCAAACTGTATCGGGGGCTTAGACCTGTGGAAGTCTGTGACCATCTCCTTGGTCTTGGAGATGTTTAGTAGAAGGCAGTGCTGAGCAGTCCAGGCAGTGAAGGCTGTCATCAGGTTCCTGTACTCACCTTCCTGCCCATTTTTGATACATGCCACAATTGCTGTATCATCAGAGTGTTTCTGACTGTGGCAGGACTCAGATCTGTACTTAAAGTCTGCGGTGTACAGAGTGAGCAGGAATGGAGCCAGAACAGTCCTTTGAGGAACCCAGTGTTATTCACCACTGTCCCAGAGACACAGTTCCCCAGACTGATGAACTGTGGTTGACCTGTCAGCCCGTAGTCCTGGAGGTGAAGCAGGAAGCAACCTCCATTGCTTTGAAGTTGTTTTGAAGTATGAGGGGTTGTGTTGTGTTAAAAGCGCATGAGAAGAAGAAGAACATGAACCTTACATGTCCACCTGATTCATCAAAGTGAGAAAAAAGCTGGTGAAACATGTAGACGACACCATCGTTCACTCCAACATTCTCCTGGTATATGGTATACGAACTGCAGGGGTCAAGTGTGCAAGATGTGGTCTCAGAAAGCGGCGCAGAAGTAGTGTCTTCATAATGTGTCAAGTGAGGGCCACTGGACTGTCGTCATTTCTCTCAACCGGGCGCCCAACTTTGGCCACAGGTACAAGACAAGACGTTTTCCACAGAACCGGAACCCTACCAGTCCGAAGACTCAAGTTGAAGATCTACTAGAGTGGCTAGGCCAGATGAGCAGTCCTTAAGCAGCCTTTGACATACACCATCTGGACCTGGTGGTTTTCCAGGACTCAACCTCTTCAGCTCTGCAGCCGGTTCCACAAGGACCTGGACAACTTGTCACAATTGATGGAGCCACAAATTCTGCTCTCTGTCAGAAAATCCTCCTGGAGAATATCCATCCATCAGTTCATGATCTCAAGTGCAAATGGGTTATGCAGCATGACAATGACACAAAGCACACTAGTAGGTCCACCTCTGAATGGCTCCAAAAGAACAAAATTAAGGTTTTTGAGTGGCCAAGTCAAAGTCTGTACTTGAATCCAATTGAGAAGACATTAAAAATGAAGTTCTTTCTCAAAAATCATCTTATGTGGCTGAATTAAAACTATTCTCCAGAGAAGAGTGTGCCAGAACTCCTCCATGGTGATGTAAAAGACTGATAACAAGCTATGGCAAACGTTTAACTGCACTTGTTGCTGCTGAGGGTGGACCAACCAGTTATTAGGTTTAGGGAGGCAATTACTTTTTCACAGGGGTGGCAAAGGGTTTCAGTAAATCTTGTTTCATTTAAAAACTGCGTTTTGTGTTTTGTGGGCTATCTCTGTCTAATATTGACATTAGTTTGATGATCTGGAACAGCTGAGTTTGAGAAATATGCAAAAATAGAAGACACCAGAAAGTAGGCAAATACTTTTTCACAGCAGAACAATTTCTTGTACAATACCGTAGCAGGTGTGTTTCCTTACAGAATAATGTTTATTACTAATTCATCAGAAATATGGCACAATTCCAAATTACACCTAAAAAACTAACAAATAGCACTTTACTGACTGCTGCAGAAGTGCTACTAGGATCTTCTGAAACTAAATTACTACAATTTAATAAAAAAATGTATTGCAGAAGTTCACATAGAACACCTAAACAGTTCATAACATGTATGGCTTTCCCTTGCTGGCAAGATAGCTGCCAATCTGCTAGGCATACTCTTCATTAATGTGTGTGATGTTGCACTGGGGAGACTGGTCCATTCTTCCTGTAAAAACTAGCTACGTTCATTTGGCTGTGGGTTTCTGGCAGCAACTGCACACCCAAGAGCATCCCACAAATGCTCGATTGGTGTCAGGCAAGAATGCCAATTGTTGCAAACCGCCAATTACCTCCGAGTCAAGAAAATCCTGCACAATTTGTGCTCGTTGTGCTGGGCATTATCTTTTTGGTACCTAAAATTCTCTCTGAATGTCTGATGGGCCCATGGCTACAGGCGATGTCTCAGTGTATATACATCCCCATTGTCATTGGCCCCTAAGATCACAAGGTCTGATTTGCCATTGTTGTGAAAGGCCCCATGCATGTCCGATCTGCCTCCAATGGCAAGTCTTGGCTGCACACAATCCTCATTGAGTCTTTCACCTTGCATTCAACGCATCCTGACACAGCCATCAGCTCTGTACAGCAGAAAATGCAACTCATCTCCAAACAGGAAATATCGCCAGTGATCTGCAGTATGGGCTCAGGACTACCTGGCCCGCTGGCGGTGCTCCAGCTTGTATCTGGCTGTCGGAATTGGCTACCTGTTGGTCTTCTGGCATTCAGACCCCTTTCAACCAATGTCCTGTTGACTGTTTCATGACTAACTTGGATATTTCCATGCTGTTGCCATTCTTGCCTCAGAGAGGCAGAAGCATATTTATATACCTCTGGTGCCCTAAAACC